ATGAATTTTAAAATTTCTTCTGATACTATATATATAAAATTTACTAGTTCTTTGCAGAAGTCTTTAATGAAGCACAGATATTTTCATTAGATTGCTTTTGTCATATCCATCTTATCAACACTTATTTTTTTAAAAAATCATATACAGTTGCTTAAAACAGTTGAAGAAATTACAAAAGATGTATTTGGTCTCCATTCTAAACTGGATCGTAAGAAGGCAGTTGATCAGCATAATGCAGAAGTTCAAGATGTTTTTGGCAAAAACTTGAATAGTCTGTTTAATAATATGGAAGAATTAATTAAGGATGGCAGCACAAAACAAAAGGCCATGCTAGAAGTTCACAAGACCTCGTTTGGTAAGTGCAAACATTTATTTTTCTTTCAATTGAAGGATAGTTGATTTACAGAATTTTGTTGCCAAACATCAACATGAATGAGCCATAGGTATACATATGTCTCCTCCCTCTTGAACCTCCCTCCCATCTCCCTCCCCATTCCAGCCCTCTAGGTTGTCGCAGAGCCCCTGTTTGAGTCCCCTGAGTCATATAGCAAATTCAATTGGCATCTATTTTTACATATGGTAATATGTTTCCATGTTACCCTCCATTCATCTCACCCTCTCCTTCCTCCCCCCTGCCCATGTCCATATGTCTGTTCTCTACATCTGTGAGTCCTTGGCTACCATGCAAATAATTTCATCAGTACCATCTTTAGTTCAAACATTTCTTATTCCAGTCTTATTGTGTTTAGTGTGAGACTTATTTCAAAACTGATATTAAAGTATTATTTTCACCATAGAAAACTTGGAAGATGCAGACATGAAAAATTTAAAAAGTCACTTAGAGTCTAATCACTCTAAGCTAACCCCTAAAAAATTTATTGATTGATTTCTAGTTTCTCTTCTTTAACCTTTTTTATCTACAGTAATCCTATGTATTCCTTTTAGTTAGAGATTCATTTTTAGATTATCCTGACTTTTCCACTAAGTTACAGTTTTGGGTCTGATACACTTACAGATGTGCTAAGTGCTTCCCGAATACTATAGAACATAATTTATGTTTAAAATAATTCCATGCTTATGTAGTGAGTCAATTATTTTAAGCTTATTTGTTACAAATTTCCACAACAGGGATATGAATTTTGCCAAGGTTGTATTTGTGTTTAAATATGTTTCTGTCCAAGTTGACATCTTTTTTCTTGTTGGTGTAGGCACCCTGCTGACGTCCAGTGTCTCTGCATTAGACACTACTACTGCAGCAGCACTTGGATTCTTCACATCGATTCCAGAAAATGTGTCTACACTTGTTTCTCAGATGTCTAATATGATATTGAAGGAACAGTCGTTAGCAGCAGAAAGTAAAACTGTACTTCAGGAATTAATTGTTAGTAAATCTTTGATTACATTTAATAAGTCTCCAAAAACAATGTTAACTGCTCTTCTTTCATCTTAAGCTTTACTAGACACAGTGGTAAACAGATTACTTCAATAGAGTAGGTTTATATTTTTAAAGACAGGTCTCTTCACTGCTTTTTTCCTCCCAGAAAGATTAATTTCCAATAGCATATATATAATCTTAGAAACCTGTTTCACTGCTATTCTGTAACACAGATGTAGTTCGTATGCCTTTTAATAACTAGAAAGAGTTACAGGTTTAGCTCCACATGAATTCAAGGGACCTATGACTTGTTAGCTGGCTTAGAAATTGGTCAGTTATCCTTTTCTTAAGGGTCCTGGAATCATCATGCTAATGTTACACTGACCCAACCGGAAGGGTATATTAAGTAGTTGACTTTAAAACTACAGAAATACAGAAAAACGTGTAAGAAAAATGACTTATAGAATTTGGGGAACATATATAACAATTTGTGGGGTCTGATATGTGTAATCAGGTCCTTCTGGCCTGTAACTGTGAGGCTTTTTTCCATAATTCTGTAGAAGCCAGTCATCTAATTATACAATGTTGTTTACCTTCTCCACACCTGATTTCTTTATACCCTTTATTTTGTAATTGTATCATTTGTCTAGGAAGTTCTTGGCCATATAACTTACTTTGGTTTTTCCCTCTGTATAGGCTCTCTGCCTCTCTTTTTGAGTTTAACAATATTTGTTGAATGTTTTCCAAGTAAATACTGCTCATGTTAGCGAACATTCTGCCTAAATTCAGTGCTTGCATGACATTATTAGGTAGATTTCTTTAGTCACCCAAATTTGACAAGGTTAAAAGATGCCCACTGGTAGTTACTTTTTGGGAATTTTTTTTTAATTGGACTATAATTGCTTTACAATGTTCTGTTAGTTTCTGCTGTATGAAAATTGATTCACTCACTCAATAAATGGTAGTCTCTGTTTATTGATGTCTTCCTACCAAGTCATAAGCAAGCTTGAGTCTGAAGAGGTGATTGCTGTTCCCACAGAATGAGTTGAAATTAGTATGATAGCTCTTCTTTCAAAAGAAAACCAGTACTCTTTTAAGCATTTACTAATTATTTGGTTATAGTTCTTCATCCTTGCCCTAGTGATAGGAGCTTAGTTCAGAATTTTTTTCTTCCTTTTATAAAAAATTCCAATCTACAATACTTTCTAACTTTTCTATGTACCTTGACATGAACCAGAACCATGACAAGTTCTTATCCAATAGAATGTAAATCACCAGTTCTTCAAACTTAAATGCCTCCAACCCAGAGCCTACTTTTCAAGGCTATTTGGTTTCAGCCCTTTTGACTTAGTAACCTAAAGTTGTTTGAAATTTATTTCTTTGAAATACAATTGTAGGTGTTTTTTTTTCCTTTCTTTGTTTGCATTGCTGAAATTTTATCAAATGACTGTCATTTTCCCCTCTTCTGAATTCTTCTGACTTATGTTACAGTAGACTATTAAGAAGTTATTGTACATAAAGTGACCATTTCTTAATTCCTATATGCAGGATTAAGTGATTTATGATGAATATAAACTGTAGTAGTGGGCTCTGTAGACTATATAAAAGAGAACGGACACTTAGGATTTTAATATGCACGTGTTTAGTTAACAGGATATTCAAGATGTTATCATTTAACTAGCCAGATTTATGCAAGTGAAAAAATCCTTCTTAAAGACTTGTGTATTTATTTTTCAAACCAGAATGTACCTAAGACTGACCACCTCAGTTCACTGGGAACAGCTTTATTCCCAACTGTGGCATCTATACTGGAAATCAATAGTCAACTGAAGAATATCTTCAAGACTTCGTCGATTGTGGCTAATAAGGCAATGAATATTCTTATTATCTCAAATTGTTAAGAAAGAAACTCCACATGAATTCAAGGGACCCAGGACTGGTTAGTTGAGAAGTGTCTACATGCAGAACTCGTGGGTTATGAGAAGGAATCTGGAGGAGGGAGGAGAGAGGATGCTGTGGTCAGGATGCTAACCGTTGATGTAGCAGAATCATGGCTAAGAAAAAGGAGAGGAAATTATCTTCAGGCATCAAAGCATACATAGCGGTCTATCATATGGTGTGTGTCCATATGTGGTTATACATACATATGTATGCATACCTGCCTAAATATGGATAATAAAATACCTCTGTGTGCGTGCCAAGTCACTTCAGTCATGTCCGACTCTTGGCGACCCTATGGACTGTAGCCTGCCAGGCTCCTCTGTCAGTGGGATTCTCCAGGCAAGAATACTGGAGTGGGTTGCCATGCCCTACTCCAGGGGAATCGTCCTGACCTAGGGATCGAACCCACATCTCCTGCATTGTCAGATGGGTTCTTTATGACTAGGGCCACCTGGGAAGCCCCCAAATACCTCTAGATATGTTTTTAAATGGTAACAATCCCCTCTCAGAGGTGGGATGGGACTGGAGTTCTAGGGGCTGGAGGGGAAAGGAAGGGACTTTTCTCTGCAATACTGTTTTCTACCTTTTCTCTTTTATATGTATTCAAAAAAGTAACTGACAACATTTACGAAAATAATTTTATTCTTTTGGCTGTGCTGTGTCTTTGTTACTGCAAGGGCTTTTTTCTTTAGTTGCAGTGAGCAGGGGCTACTCTTTAGTTGTGGTGTGCAGACTTCTCATCATGGTGCCCTGTCTTACTTTGGAGCACAGGCTCTAGGGCGCCTGGGCTTCAGTTGTTGCAGCATGCTGGCTCAGCAGCTGTGCTTCTGGGCTCTGTTGAGCACAGGCTCAACAGTTCTGGCTTGGAGGCTCAGTTGCTCCACAGCTTGTGGACTCTTCCTGGATCAAGGATCCAGTGTGTGTGTGTGAGTGTGTCTGTGGGTGAGGGTGTGGTCAGGCCGACTGGGGGCCGCATGAATACCCAGAATGGAGAGGGGAGGGTGTGGAAGCCGGGGGTTGGGAAGCCTGTGTGGTCCTCTTGCTGTCTCTTTCTCCCTTACCTGTGGTTTCAGGCTCTTGACCTGTCACGGCAGGGGGTGGGGAGGAGGGGGGGTGTGGGGGTGTGTGTGTGCGAGCATGCGAGGGTGGGGCTGGGGGTGGGGCAGCCCCCAGGATTGCCTGAGGTGTGCCAAGGGAGCCCCAGATGAAGACCCCACTCTCATCTGGTTTCCTGGAAGCCGAACGCGGAGGGGCTCGCGGGCCATGCAGAGGCAACCCAGGTCTGTGGTGGGAGTCGGGGCCCCGGCCACCGACCTGGGTAGGGTCTGGCGCTGCGGGGACCCAAGAGTTAGGATGCTGCTGTCTGTAAGGGTTGCCGGCCGGCTGGAAGGCAGCCGACAGCTATGAGCGCGGCCGGGTGCGAGGGGCCAGGGGCAGGTGGGGCTTGTGGCGCGGGTGGGCCGGGGGCTAAAGGAGAAGGGAGGCAAAAAGCCTACAGCAACCGGTATTCCCAGGCGGTCTCCCACCCAACTACTAACCAGGCCCGACCCTGCTTAGCTTCCGAGATCAGACGAGATCGGGTGTGTTCAGGGTGGTATGGCTTTGGGTTGAGGCGGCTGCCGCCAGGCGCCCCAAGAACTCTACACTATGCCTCCCTTTCACTCTGACCGGCCTGTCGGGCCAGCCAGCCGCAGCTCTCCACCGGGCGTGCTCTGCACTTGAGCCGCACTACCCGCGACCGGACTTCAGCCTGCCAGGACCGGCAGCCCGGTGGCCGGCTGACGCCACCCCGCCCCCACACACCACCACTCCCGGCCAGCACCCACCTGGCCTGGCGGGCTTCCAGGACCGGAGCGCCCCGGCGTGCGTGCGGGGGGTGGGGGGATGGGGGCGGGGCGTGGAGGTCTCCGGTGCTCTCCCACCCTGGGCCTCTCCAGGCCTGCCCCTGCTCGGCGGCCTCCCCCGCCCCCATCCCGTTTGCTGCCCAGGGCCGGGTGGTCTCTGCACCTGCCCGGCATCCTGCCCGAGGCCCCCTTGCCCACACGCTGTCTTCGAGTCTCTCTCTGAACCGTCCTCTCTTTCTGCCTCTGTCTCTCCTGACACCCCGTCTCCCGGCCCTTCCTCTGGCCCCAGCCATTCACAGGTGCTATGGCTCTGGCTGACGAGCGTGCGCCAGCTGGCTGTCTCACTTTGCGTGGGTGCGTGCGAGTGTCTGTGTGTCTGTCCGTGTGCCTGCATGTCACTCGTCTGCTCTCTCAGGAAGGTCCTGTGCTGGGCCCGCGGCATGGGGGCAAGGCGGGCCTCGGTAGGGCGAAGGGGCGGGGCTGGCGCGCTCCGGTGGGTTTGGGCACCGGGCAGGATGAGCGCTCAGGGCCCCGGCTGGGCTGCTCCTAAGCCCACAGGAGGCTCCGAGGGCCGAAGCCACACACCTCCAGAGCCACGTGACCCTGAGCAGCGAATGGGATGGGGGGGGTGCGGCGCGCCGCGAAGTGGGGGCGGGCCTGAAGAGGCCCAGGGAGGGAGGGCACCGAGAGGTCCACGCCTCTCAACCCCCCCCACCCCCCGCCAGCTCCCGCAGGCACGGCAGGCCGCTTGGGGTGCCGGAAGCCCTCCGGGCCCCGGGCCAGGCCAGGCGGGTGCTGGCCGGGGGTGGCGGTGTGCGGGGCTGGGGCGGCGTCGGCTGGCCTCCGAGCTGCAGGCCCTGGCCGGCTGGAGTCCAGTCGCGGGTCGTGCGGCTCAAGTGCAGCACACGCCCCGTGGAGAACTGCGGCCGGCAGGTCGGAGGAAAAGGAGGCGCAGCGCAGGGCTCTTAGGGCGCCTGGCAGCAGCCACCTCCATCTACAACCATACCAACCTGAATGCACCGGATCTCACCTGATCTGGGAAACTAAGCAGGGTCGGGCCTGGTTAGTAGTTGGATGGGAGACCCCCTAGTAGTTAGGAACTCCAGGCCCTTGCACAAAGTAGATGACAAGCCAACGTATAAGTGATGAAAATTTATAGTGAAAAATCAGACCTAAATTCAAAGATGGTTTAGGGAGTAAAAGCAAGTCTTTTCCATTAGCTTTTTTTTTCCCCCATCAACTTCTATAATGCTTTTCCATTAGCATAATGCTTCCTTTTTATTCCTTCTATTTCCTTGTCTATATGCATCTTTTTGCACCATAATGTGGTGCCTTATTGGCATAATTTTCTGCCTTACTGTCTTGCCATAACGCTGATGTAGGAGATAAATGGTCTCCAGGTTAGAGATTTACAACTAGCCTGTTTTTTACACTTCCTGAGACAAGAGATAGGTGGGCTCCAGTTGAGGCATTTACAGTCAGCCTCCTGTTTGTCCTCTGAAGTGGAAGTAACAACAGAAAGAGAGTAAATAGGTAGCGTTTGTCTCTTATAAACACTTTAATAGTCATGGCAAGGACAAAGAGGGACAAAATCCTTCTTGAGTAATGGATTAAGAGGTCTCCCCTCCCCCCCCACCCCCTTTTGGGACAAGGGAAACACTACACATGCGCAGAAAGGCTCCTTGTGGGTCAAAAGTCAGGCGAAAATGCCAGACCATAATGAGTCTTGCTTCTCCCCAAAGCCTCCACTTCTAGATCCATCTTAGCTGAGGGGTGTGTGCACACGAGGGGAGAATCCCAGGATAGGTCAGATGTGAAGAAAGAAACGAGAAAATTGGCAGAAAGGAAGACAAAGACCCAGAAGAACTGGCCTATATAAATGACTTAACCACCTCTTTATTGTGCTCCTTCTCACTAGGGGGGTGCCCATAACCTTTCTCTCCAGGTATGTATCTCTGTTTTGCTTCTGTCTTAACTAAACCAGCTGTTGCTCTATGTTCTTTCCCATGTGTTGCTGTGCTATGTCTCTAATAAGAAACTTTGTACCTGCATGTACAGTTTCTGCCTCCATGATAAATGCATTTTTCACTGGGGGCCAAGATCCAGGGAAAATTAGCTTCTAGCCTCTAGCCCTTCCCTTGCTGGTCTGTTGGCTAGGATCCTGGTTTTCGTTCAGACTACCCAGGTTCAGTTCCTGGGCAGGGAATTAGATCACACTTCCTGCCACCACTCACTGCTGCCTCACTGAAATCAACTCAATTTTTATCACCATTTAATCTACATCATATGAATTTTTCAACTAATTTGTAATTTTTAGAAAAAGGACTTCTTAGGTATTAACATACTGGTATTTTCATAAGGGGCAAATACTTCTTTCCTAAAACTGCGTTAAGAAAATTTGAACTTAAGAAAATATGTTTTGATGTAGCAGAATTATTATTTTATCTTTACAATCCAGCATTTGTTAAATACTTAACTGCTAATAACTATTCAGGCTTCCCTGGTGGCTCAGCTGGTAAAGAATCCACCTGCAATGTAGGAGACCTGGGTTCGATCCCTGGGTTGGAAAGATTCCCTGTCGCAGAGTCGGACATGACTGAGCGGCTTTCACTGTTCACTAATAACTGTTCAGCCTGAAATAAGAACTTTCAAAAATCTTTGAACATAGATGCTTTAACTTAATTCCCCTCTGGGATAAATATTTTGCATGCACTTTTAGGTTATATATATACAATAGGCACAGAGCTCTTTTATTATGTATTTTATTTTCATATAAATTAACATCCTAGAAAAATTAAAATAGAAACACTAAATACAGTATTGCACGTAGCAATCTATGTTAAATGCCCCATTATATCATTGACGTTCATATACACATGGAGGGACTAAAGGAGAGAGGAAAATGGCAGAACAGCAACCCGAGAGCCACTACTGTGTCTGTACACATCAACTACAGACTGAAAGGTAAGGACAGTATTTTACATAAATAGAAACATAGTTACAATTCAGATTTTCTTTTTAAGTTGCCTCCATAATTGGTTTGCAATAGCAACAGATTCTCCCCTTTATTCATAGCCATACCCCAACACATATCATTTTTAAAAAATCTATTAATGTTAGATAAAGCCATCACAATGCTTCAGGAGTGACTTAAAGAAAACCCCAATCAAGTCCGAATACTCAGGCAGGTGGGTTTAATGAACAAGTCCTAGGTAGATATCAGTCTATCTAAAAGTTATTTATTTATTTATTTATTTATTTATTTATTTATTTATTTAGCCAACAGTCATGTTTGGCAATTTTATGAGGATCATTTAAAAGCAGTGTGTCATTTTCTTTGAGAAGGGCAATGGTAAAAGTTACAGAGAGGCAGAACTTTGGTTTAACTGAACTTTGCTGCAGATGGGAGCTTTATGTAGGTCCAAAAGGACATGGTTGATAAAGGGCCTCATTTAACTTAAAATTATGATTCCTGCCTATATTAAATGATGTATAGAAAGGGTTTTCTTTTTGCTATATTTTTTTCCTATTCATTGTGTGATGATTTAAAAAAATGATAACCTTCTTTCATAAATATATAGTTACAGAGACCAACCCAAGAGCTGGGAAAGCCTTATCTATGACATATATAAATGGTACCTCAATTTTAAAATAGAAAATTTATATGTAGATGTGAAACTGATACAAGTCACTAGAAATATCATGTTAACCATAAATCTAAATGCAGTGAAGTGGAGTACTGGTCATCAGGAGAAAGACTGTTTCGCTGTGACAGGGAATATTCTCACAACAGTAAGTTGGAGGTTACTGTTTAGCATGCTCAGAATTAATGTAGATGCTGCCTCTTACACATGCTGTTTTGGTCTATTGGTAAAATACCATAAACTTTTACAAAAAGAAAAGGTGTCACCTTCTCCACTGGCCTACTGCTTTTACATTTTTATATGAATACAGTGTAGAATTCAACAATCAGTAAACTGGAAAACAAAGATTATGCAAGAAGCCAAGAAGAAACGTGATTAAAGGGATGAGTTTCCTTCCTGCCCTCAGGCCACCTGAATTCTGTGGAAGCAGCTGCAGTGACTCATTTTTGTTCTGCTTTTCATGCTCAGGTTTTCATGCTTATTTTTGCTTTCTGAAATAAATGCACCAGGTAAGAGAAATAGTTAGAAGGAATAACTTTAAAGAATGTATGGCATTTAGAATAGCATTTTCATTTGGATCAAATTCTTTGAGGAAAGTTTAAAGATCCTCAAGCTCATACATGAAAAAAGATATAAGTAAAATCTATTTATCTCTTAGAATTTTCACTAATGTTTTGAGGGGAAAAAAAAGGCTTCAAAATTTAGCTTCTAATTGATGTGAAAGAGTATTGGCTCACCTTTCTCATTTTCAGTCTTATGTACAAACACATAAATATGAAAGTTGAACCAAGGCTTCATCTCATTGTTAATGTGATTTAATTCTCTTCTATGACTCAGATGGTAAAGAATCTGCTCACAATGCGGGAGACCTGGGTTCAATCCCTGGATCGGGAAGATCCCCTGGAGAATGGAATGGTGACCTATTCCAGTATTCTTGCCTGGGGAATTCCATGGACAGAGGAGCTTGGCAGTCCATGGGGTCGCAAAGAGTCGGACACAACTGAGGGACTAACACACTTTCATCTGACTGTTAATATGATTTAATTCTCTTCTATCCTTATAACAGCATAATTGTGGTTAGTAAATAACTATTCCTTCTCATTCTATACATGACTTGAAGATTTACTTTCATCAAAAAAAACATAAACCAAACCATAATATAATACTTGTTGTTCAATAAGATTTTGATACAGAGAAACAGAAGGGAAAATACCTTTTAAATGCAGATATTTCTAACTTTTTCTAAATAAAGCTGTTTAAATTGTGGCCCAATTTGGGTTATTTGAATATCTTCCATTTACACTTTATTAGACTAACTCAATTCAAAATGCTATTTTAAGGTCTAACCCAACTTTTCATTTATAATAGCATTTACTTACTCTGTAGTGCCAAGTGATAATCCCTAAAACATTCAACAAAACATAAGACAGTATCACATGGACTCATGTCCACCAAACCCTTCCCTTCCTTGTGCACAACCTGGTGTTTTATTTTGAAGGGAGAAATAAGCAAAGAGGGAACAACTTGGCTTGTTACACTTGGCTGTGGGCTGACAGTTGCTGGTAGCCCCCTGTGTAGCCTGAGCCCCTGGTCTGAGCAAAGAACAATGCTGTACCTGGCACTTCCTGTGTTAGGCCCCAAGGGTGCTCATGGGATTATAACAGCTATGCTGTGACCCATGTATGATGAGGAGAGTGAAAGATGGCCCCCAACTCCACCAGCAGCCCTCCACATATATGCACCCCCTCAGTGGCTCCATCTTGATGGTTAGGCTTTGAATGCTGAACACTGAAATTCTTTTAGCCTCTGGTACCTGATTACAGGCAGAAGGAAAAGGAGATTCTCTAAGCCGGAAGCTCACTATTTGTTCAAACTTAAGAGGAAGATGATTAAAATATTATTAGGTGGATTTGTATATCCTGAGAAAAGAGTGTTTAAAAGGCAGAGAAAACCACAAATCAAAAAACAGAATAAATACTTAAAATTCCAGTCATGTCTTGGTTTTATTTTATAGAGTGACTTTCCCTTTTTCTGCCTACAAACCTCTTCAGCTTCTTTTACTCTAGGTGGGGAGAAAACACATGAATAAACAAAGACTTACAAAGATCACTGCAGTCCATCTATAGTAGGTGAGCAAGTATCATGAAGGATTTGATTTATTAGAGAAAAATAATACCACATACTCAGGAATGTTACCTGATACTTGATTTAAAAACATAATAGAGCTAGAGGTGAATTCATCCAGTGGCTCTTAACTTGGAATCAAAGAAGGCTGAATAGAATAGGACACAAGTACATTTATATTTTTAGGCATACTAAAGGAGA